GACAACTGCTCCGGTGAGACCCTCCAACGCCTTCGCTCCCTGGGCAGCTCCGGGCCCCTCTGCTCCCGGCCCGGCCGGGCTCCCGGGAGCCCTGGGGGGCTTTTGGAAGCCCCGGGCAGTTGGGCGGGGGGGGCAGCTCAGCGAGACAGGGACGTGTGGCCTTTCCTGTGGTGGCACCGAGCGCTGGGGGTTGGGCTGGGGATGATCCTGGGCTGGGAACGGTGTCTCCTCTGGGCACAGGAGGGAGGGGAAGCAACAGCTGAAGCGTTTTTCTAGCACCAGGGGCTGGTTTGGGTTGGAGGGACCCGAAAGCTCCTCCAGTGCCAGCCCCTGCACGGGCAGGGACACCTCCCAGCAGAGCTCCCAGCCCCATCCCAGCTGCCTTGGGCACTCGCAGGGATGGGGCAGCCACAGCTTCTCTGGGCAAGCTGGGCCAGGGTGTCAGCAGCCTCGGGGTCCGACCTTTCTCCCTGGTGTCCCCTCTGGCCCTGGTCCTGGTCCCTGGAGGAGATCATCTCCTCTCGGCTGCCTTTCCCACAAGAGCCTGGCCTGGATGATCTCTCCAGCTCCCTCCAGCCAGGGGTGCTTGCTGCAAGAGGGTGAGAGCTTGGGGGGGGAAAGGAGAGGGGCTGCAAGGTCTGGGAGCCAAGGTGTGTGGTTCTGTGCTGCTGGGAGTGCTGAGGGGCTGGGCACGGCAGGAGGTGGGATGGAGGGGCTGGAATGTGGGGGCAAAAGCCCTTCTGGGGAGGGGCGGGGAAGGGGCTGCTGGGCTTGTTGAAGGGCAGGGTCAGGGGGGACTTGAGCAGCAAGTGGGTGATGGTTTGTGGAGTGGTTCTGGCTGTGCTGGAGGAGAGAGGCTGGGAGGAGGCACGGGCAGGGACACCTCCCAGCAGAGCTCCCAGCCCCATCCCAGCTGCCTTGGGCACTCGCAGGGATGGGGCAGCCACAGCTTCTCTGGGCAAGCTGGGCCAGGGTGTCAGCAGCCTCGGGGTCCAACCTTTCTCCCTGGTGTCCCCTCTGGCCCTGGTCCCTGGAGGAGATCATCTCCTCTCGGCTGCCTTTCCCACAAGAGCCTGGCCTGGATGATCTCTCCAGCTCCCTCCAGCCAGGGGTGCTTGCAAGAGGGTGTTGAGAGCTTGGGGGGGGAAAGGAGAGGGGCTGCAAGGTCTGGGAGCCAAGGTGTGTGGTTCTGTGCTGCTGGGAGTGCTGAGGGGCTGGGCACGGCAGGAGGTGGGATGGAGGGGCTGGAATGTGGGGGCAAAAGCCCTTCTGGGGAGGGGCGGGGAAGGGGCTGCTGGGCTTGTTGAAGGGCAGGGTCAGGGGGGACTTGAGCAGCAAGTGGGTGATGGTTTGTGGAGTGGTTCTGGCTGTGCTGGAGGAGAGAGGCTGGAATGAGGGGCCGTGTCAGTGCAGGCAGCAGGGGGGCAAGGAGCTGTGCCCCGTCTCCCCCAGGCTGGCAGTGCCCCCAGCACAGGGGCTGCTGCTCCCCTTCCTGGAGGGTTGGTTGACCCAGCCCCCCTCTCCCCTCCCAGTGTTTGCCTACGGCGCCACAGGAGCAGGGAAAACCTACACCATGCTGGGCTCGGAGCAGAGCCCCGGCATCATGTACCTCAGCGTGGTGGAGCTCTACAAGAGGCTGGAGGCCAGGAAGGGGGAGAAGAGCTGCCAGGTCCTGGTCTCCTACCAGGAGGTAACGCTGCAGCCCAGCCCTGTCCCCCCCTGGCTCTGGGCCACTGTCCCCGAGCTCTGGAGCTGCTGCAGCCCCTGTGGTGCCCCCCTGGGGGTCCCTGCTGTGCTGCCAGCTCTGCCTGGTGTGCCCAGCCCAGCCAGAGCCCGGCTGCAGGCAGGCCCAGCCACCCAGCTGGGGGTTCCTGCCACCTGGAGCCAGGGAAGTTCCTCTTCCTCACCATGGCCCGTGGGGCAGTGGGGGTGGGACAGTGTCCTGCTGCTGAAGCCCCCCGTGCTGTCCCCTGCGTGCAGAGCCCCGGCAGCTGCTCCCGGGGCCCTGGGCTTGGGGGACACCAGGTTGTGTGTGACCCTGGGGTGCAAAGCTCCTCTCCCTGCCGAGTGCCGGGGAGCCCAAGCTCAGCCTCACCTGGAGTTCCTGCTCCAGGTCTACAACGAAGAGATCCATGACCTGCTGGAGCCCAAGGGCCCTCTGGCCATCCGGGAGGACCCTGAGAAAGGAGTGGTGGTTCAGGGTCTCTCCCTCCACCAGGTGGGTCTAAAAAGGGGCACGAGGGCTGGGCAAGGCTGTGCCTGCAGCAGTCCTGAGAGCAGGAGCTGGGGGGCACGGGGGGGATGAAGGCAGCCCCTTCCATGGCTCCCCAGCAGGAAGGTGCCATCTGGGGGCTCCTGCCTGGCACCAAGGCCTCCCCGAGCTGTGGGTGCCCCCAGCAGAGCTGCAGTGGCTGCTCAGGGTGGGGCTGTCCCGGGGCTGCCCAGGGGCTGTGCTGGTCCCAGCCCCCTCTGCTCCTTCCCCCAGCCCAGCTCGGCAGAGCAGCTCCTGGAGATGTTGGCCAGGGGCAACAAGAACCGGACCCAGCATCCCACCGATGCCAACGCCACCTCCTCCCGCTCCCACGCCATCTTCCAGGTGAGGGCTGGTGCTCGGGGTGTCCTAGGGCTGGCGAGGGGCTCCTGCTGGGGCTCCCGGGCTTCCTGCCGTGCCCAGGGAAGGTGCCAGGGGGGGTGGGGCCGCCGCGGGGGCGGGG